ATAACTCGTATAAGAGAATAAACATCAAATATGTATATTTTAACAAGAATAAGTCTGCAAATGTAAAATAAAGAAAATTAAATTGCTTGATATTTTTTACAAAGAGCTTTATAATTGAGATTTATATATAATCCAATAAACCCACTGTCAATTCTCCAGAGGATTATATTAAGTTACCCGAGATTTAACGTCATTCTCTTTTTTACCATTTAACTTAAGAGTGTAACATGAGATCATTTTCTACAAAGATATTTGTCCATTATCGTGTCATATGTGAAATATTGTTAACTGTTCGTTTGAAGGTGAGCGGAAATATGTGAACAAATTAAACGAACAATTAGGATCCCTTGTCAATTTGATGAAGCAGAGACATAACGCCGCAAAGTGTCCTGTCAAAGAGACCAATTTTAGGTTCATTACTACAATAGACAGGCTGAAGGTTCATATGACACACATAAAGGATCAAGTGACAGACACCCGATATGACGAAAATTCTTATTATGAGAATACTTCCAAACGATTCTCAGAACAAATAAAAGTAATTTTTATTATAGATTAGATAATAGCGATCTATTCAAATTATTGTGTTGAAAAATTTATTTAAAGTAAAAATTAATGAACCAATATGTGAACGAATTATGCCAATTTTTATATTTATCGGAAAATGTATAATAATTCTTGACTATGGAGAAAGCAAACCCAATACATTATCGAATCATTTGCAAAGGCGTGCGTTGACCTATGATTATTAAAACAGCGATCGACCAACAAGTCGCACGGTAGAATTTCTAATTATACGCATTTTATTATTCAATATTTCTCATTAATTTTAATCGAGGTTTTATAATTCAACTTATTCGACACAATATTCTACGCATTATCCTCGCAAAAACTTAATTTTCTTTTTAATATCAGAATTATTCAAATAAAGTGTAAATAAGAAAACTTTGGATCCCAATCTGTGGCTCCCAATTAATTTTAATTATATTAATTGCTTCACCTTTCAATAAATATCACTATGTTTCACGGTATTTTCAATCAGCGATATTACATAGTATTTCTCCATTGATATCCGTAACAGAATTAAAAAAATTATCGTGACATGTATCGAGTGGTCTTATTTATAAACCAAAATAATATTAATGTCATTTCACATGGAACATTTCAATTTAAGATGTGACATAAAATTCTATTCATTATTGTCCACGTGGCGATATTAAAATTAAACTCGTTTCTATATATTCCGGTAGTAAAAAAGAAATCGCGAACAATGTAAAATAATCTAACTACTTTAAAGCAGTCCATGATATTTTCATTTTGAACGATGAATATTTTGAATATGAATATATATTTGAATGAATGGAGGAAACGCCCATGATCCTGTGCAATATAAATTTTGCAGAAATCATAAGACCAATCTTTTATAATTCAAGTTTTGCCGAAAGTCACGTACTGGATGCGCGTCGTGCATTTATTGATCTTCGTGCATTGTGTACGAATTTTCTCACGTCTATTTTTTTAATCTTTGAACGAAACGTCAACTGATATTAATGAAAACGATCAATTCTATCGATATCTATCAACGAAAGAGGAATTCAATGAAGTAGATAATACTGTGATCTCAAGAAATGACATATTAGATTTAACGACGAACGAGCTATTATAGTGTCGCATACACAGCAATTTTCATTTATCAACGGCTACACTCAGTACTCATACTAGAACTATTATCCATATAGAGATCCCGCATGGGTGCGATGGACAACTTGCTTCCGGTCAATCTATTATTGCCGTCCTATATATCGCGCATCAGTTCCTTTAGCAATTTGAAAGAGCATCCCCTAATCGATCGCGATATTCCGACCCTCTTGTAGGCATAAATAGTGAAAAAATTCATAGTTTTATGCAAAAAATTTAACGTATCATTAATTTAATTCGTGTAAGAAATTATAACTTTTTTTACAGTCTTTCTATAACTCTTCTTTTATGGATCAAGCTAAACGCGCTTTCTTTTTGAATGCACAATAGAATTTTTGAATGCCTCATATAAATTCCGTTTTTGAATTCGTGAATTAATAAATAGATGGAAAATTTAGCAAGTGGAATATTTTCACCACATGCAGGACACAGTTAGCTGAAATTACGCGGCCGTTTATTAAAGCTTAACGGAAACGAGGATTTATGAGATATTTTACAAAATTATTTTATCACACATCGGTATACTTCGTTTGCAAGCTAATTGAAATACGAATATTAAAAAATTCCTGATTTTATGAATTAGATTCAATCTCGCAGAAACGAATTCCGCAATTCGATTTAATTTGCGTATTTTAAACAAGATTCGTACGACACTTATTCCCCATTATTATGCAGTAATCTTCCCGATCTCGAAAAAAAGCATGAAAAAAATCTTCCAATGATTCCGCTATTCGATAATGCGGAATCATTCCTCGGTCGAGAGCGTCTATGATTCCATATCGCAGGGCATCTGGGTAGTATCGGTAGCGATTTTAAAGAACGACTCGCCGAGCGATATTTACGCGTCTCCGACGGGTGCTCCTACACGATCAGTTATTTATAAAGCCATTCACGATAATCAATAACCTATGCCTCTCTTTCCTATGCGGCGAAAATTCACTAACGTGCCAGCGCACGTCGAGCATCTCCGTCGCAATGGAGCGCGCTTCGTCATTGTAATGGACCTAAAAACTGCCGTCGAATTACGGTATACAAAGACGAAATATCGCGTGCGTAAATAAATTTGCACGGATTAAGATACATAACTGATATATGTAACGCGCATTCATAAACACGTATACCACCCACGCAAATATTTATAAACAATCGTAAATAACATTTTGACGGTAAAAAACAGATTACTTGTCTGACAATAAATGTTTCACGAAAGGATACAAATGTAAAAAGATGGAGAAAGATTAAATGTAAAATTAAAGAACAGATGTAGTTCTCGCAAAGAGGAAAAAGTGATTATTAAATTCAAATATTAAATTGGATTTCTTTTTACTTTATTCATTATAACTTACACAATATTATCTATTAAAAATGTAATCAATAATCTAAATGTATAAAACATCGGCTTTATGTAAAATAAAATCAATACTAATAAATAATAAAAAAGTAAGGAACTGTATAAACAAGATGTCGAATGTTGAAAAACAATTTCCGCGACAATTTTGTTATTAACACATAAATTGCGTATCGATCATATATTAAAAATTTTTTAGTTTAATTTAATTTAATTTTTGTTGAAAATCGAAAATATTTTTCGTTTCTCTTTTGCTTTACTAAATTAAAATATATTTATATAAAACATATATACGAAAAAAATTTTAACTAGATATTGTAATATAATAAATATAAATACATAAATACTCAAAAATTATAAAAAATGCTTTGCTGTATAATAATATTTAATTCAAACATTTCAGTCATTAATAAACATTTGTTATTAAATAATTCAATAAAAAAATGACAATTGAAGTTATGTTTTTGCACGGTTAAATTCATGTTTTTTTTACGACAAATATGGTAACAAGTTTTTGCGTTAAAAGCTATTCCCGATAGCGATAGCTTTTTTGTCCGATTACTCTCACGAGAGAGAACGTTGAAAAATATTTGAATGGCATCACGCAAAAGATAAGCTAGAAAAAGAATAACACGAACCGGTGTATGTCTGACTGAAGATACGTTCCAACTACTTCTTAGCCGAGAGAAGGAATGTCGATGTTCGCGCTATAATCATCTTGTAAAAGCTCTCACGAGACGCGTAACGCTTCTACGTCCCGCCGGATGTATACTCAAAATACTCATCTAACATTTGCCGAATTAAGCGACTATTTCGACAATCGTCGCGGCGAAAAAGAATGGACCCAAGGGAAAAAATTGATTCACACAATGCATCGAATTCGTCGAGAGAGATTTGTCTTTCATTAGCAAATGACAAACCATCCTGTATTCGTGTGAAAACAACAAAAATTGTTGCGCTGGAAAGAGTCTGACTGCATTAAATTAATTGGAATTTTGATTAAAAATAAATAAATCAGAATTTTTTGTTAGATCTATAATTCAAATTAAGATAATCAGAATTCTGATTGATATGATCAAAATCTACCGATTCATTCTTTCTCAATCAGAAATTTTCTCAGTACGAGACACTTTGAGGGGCACACTTGCACAATCCTCCTATAGTTTTATCAAAGGTTTTATCAGCCTTATTGAGAGAGAAGCTTGAAAATTACAAAAAGCTAAAGTCAATTCATCTTCATGCAACCGATCGTCGAGCATCGTATTCTCGAGGGGAGCAACTTCTTTGCGATCGCTGGCGAACGAATAAAGTACACCAATTTATAGCGTCGTCTGAAGTCGCAAGTATAAATTGCCGACGGCGAGATCGCAGGATCCCCCGGGGAAATAATAGGGTAAATTACGAAGGGATGTGAGGGCCCATTTTCCCTGGTCACCTACCTACCTATCCCGGGCGATCTCTCGACTACGGAGTAGATCGGATGAAAATACGCGACGGAAATCGTCGGGGAACTCATGGGAATACATGTCTTCGAAGTCGATACGCGTCTATTCACATGAATGATTTTTGATCAATCACAAGAGACCCGACAGGAAATCCGTCGAGGCAGCAGTCACGTCAGACACTTCGAAACTTTTACAGAGCATTTTACAGCGCATCGCGGAAGACGTTCGCGTTGATCAGTACGATCATCAATGTGTAACTCTTTCGCGAACTCGCTACAACGATCGTGCTGCATCGGTGCAACCAAAGGACCGAAGACTTGTTCGATCTGGAAATTGGTACTCTCGTATTCAGCCTCGCGGATCGCACCTGCAATCGTCGAGACGGTCGCGAGAGAACTTCCGCGAGAGCTCGCGACTCACCACGGCGAGCTCTCGAGGACTCGTGCCGAGAACGGGGGTAGACCCGTTCCTTCGCGTTTCGTCGGACGTTAATCTCCTCTTTCGCGTACCTGAGATCGGTCGATCGGTGGCGCAGGGCGCGGCGGCATCGTCCCGTCACAGCGCGGCGCCGTTCGACGAGCACTGAGCAGCTATTCTGCGCCAACCCGGTTGCGTCGACGTCGAAAAGACGCGGACGCGTATTCTCTCTCTCTCTCTCTCTCTCTCTCTCTCTCTCCCCCTCTCTCTCTTTCTCTCTCCACTGTTCCGCCCCCGTTCCACGCCGAGCCTTCTTTCTCCGATCGGTTATCACGCGCGTATTCTCTCGCTCTTGCCCGGTACCCGCAGCTTCTCTCGTCCTTCTCTCTCTGTCTCTCTCTCTCTCTCTCTCTCTCTCTCTCTCTCTCTCTCTCTCTCTACACTCTCCCACGCTCGCTCGCTACGACTGACGACGCCAACCGCCACCGCGCGTCCGCCCGATGCTGCTCCTCGTTTGAGCGCACCGTCGCCGTTGCTTTGCGCAGGTTTCCGTTGAACGCGAGAAATTCTCTCTCTCTCTCTCTCTCTCTCTCTCTCTCTCTCTCTCTCTCTCTCTCTCTCCTTTTTCTTTCTCTCGTTTTCTATAGCTGAAGAAGAGAGAGGATGGGAGATCCGGTGGAAAGAGAAAAACGACATAGTTAGAGAGACCAGCGCACGTTGAAGAGGATGGTGCTCGCATGAAGGGGATAAAAAAAGAGGGAAGCATTTCGTAAACGAGTCGCGTGCGCCTCCGTTGCTTGACACCTATCTCTTTCTCTCTCTCTCTCTCTCTCTCTCTCTCTTTGTCTCTTCTTTTTTTCTCTTTCTCGGTTTCTCTCTCTCTCTCTCCCTCTCTTTCTCTTTAGTTATCTATCTTTATCTCTATCCTACTCTTCTATCGCGCGATATCATTCCTGGGTGCAAAACTTCTTGTCGGATGTCGTTAACCTAATGCTCGGTCGTCTAATCATTTTTTTTCTTTTCGGTAGCTCGTGTTTTGTTTGTCGATGTGTTGCCCGGTTTATAATAGCAATCGATTTAATTTAGTATAAAATTACTCGGAAATGTGTACATTGTTATTCTTCGTGTTAGAGTTGTGCCGGACTTTCTTATCTGACTTTAATTATTCAGCATGATGAGAACCTAAACAAGTATATGTTATCTCTGCGAAATATATAAATGATGTACAGATTGTGTCAGATTCAAGATCATTTATAACAAAACTTCTGCTCATTTTAAAGTAGATTTATCAGAATTGAAAATTTAATTAAATACTATTCTTTTTTACGATTCGATTTTTTATAATTTTTTTTAAATGTCAAAATGTTTCTTTAAAATCAAATATTTTTATATTTTACTTAATTTCTATTTAATATTTAAATTGAGATTCTGTTAAAGCTGAATCTGCTTTCTTCACATTATCTGATTCTGAAGAACATGGATGTCGTTTCATAGAATTTCTAACTTTATAAATAGTAGAAGATAAGAAGATTATACTTTCAAGTATTTTGCTGTAAAAGCTTTCTAAGGACTACACTAAGAACGATGTCCTGCTATCAAAAACTATGTAATACATTTACATATTCAAATTTTACCAAAGTTTTTATCAGTTATATAGTTAGAATATTTATAACAAAAACAAAAACCAGCACAATCTGCTACCTACCAACTTTTCGCTACGTCGTCATCGTCGCAAATGGATTTATATTTTATGTCTAAAATGAGAGATTTATATTTTATGTCTAAAATGAAAAATATAAAATATAAAAATATAAAATATTATATTATATTACCTTTTTATCTTTTAACCTACAATAATTTATGACGTGTAGACAGCTTTGAATCTTCTTGGATTTATAATACAGACGCACATAATTCGTACGTATGTGAGTCGTATAGAAATTATAAAAATGATTTATCAACGAGACGGAATTATTAATGAAAAAAGGAATGACTGATAAAGACAGATAATCGAAAGTTATTCTTTCTTACGTCTGTTTCTAACTAATAATTAATCCTCTCTGGATTTCTCTCGTTGCGAATAGTTTACAAGCTGTGAATACGAAAGCTAATAGAGAAAATGTTCAATGGGGATTGGCGTCACGTAACAGACAAATCGATACGACCAAGTAAACTATCGAAGGTATTCAAACGCCTTCCCTATCAATCGAGACAGATCGCTGACAATAACGAATAGATAGTTCCGCGCTTACAATGCATTTGATAATGAGAAGGACATACTGAATGCCGATATTGGCATTTGGTTAGATGTATTATCATATTGTATGATTTATGTTCTATCGCAGATTTATGCGATAAACAAACTGCGATACATATACTTTCATCCACTTGCGTGGATTGCACTATACAAATGAATATATTTCGCTCCTTTCTCTGAAAAAGATTATATATGTATCGATGAATCTATGCCGAAAAGATTCGATTTTAACCAAATTAATATGATTATCTTAAAGTAATTATTTGATTTATTTATTGCCTAACAAATCTGTGATCAAACGTACTTACAGTATATTTGAGATTCCTTACACTATATAAACGAACGTACTTCTCTCCTTTCTTTGTAAAAAAAGATATATGATATATAAATCTATGCTGAAAAGATTCAATTTTTTGATCAAATTAATATGATCAACTTAAAGAAATTTAATTCGATTAATTTATTACAAATTTGTAATTAAATGTATTTGCAATATACTCCTTGTGTTTAATACGTGTATTGATCAAACCTCTTAAGCAGAAAGCTAATCATTCCGGCAGACGTAAAGTTTGTTTTTTATTATAGCGAGTTTATTAATAAACAAAAGTTAAGGCAGTTCGAAGAAATTTATTCAAGAATTACGCGTTATAAGCGTGCGTTAAAGGGATTTTATCAGACTTGGACAGCTTATGGAAGCATTTCTATTGTATACCTTTGTATAAGCTTCTATTCAACTTGTAAACCGTTCGCGACAAGGAATCCTAAAGAGGATTATTTATAAAAGAAGGAACAAGAAGAATAACTTTCGATTATTTGCCTGTCAGCCTTTTTGCTGACAAGCCTCTTTTTAAATCCGACGGATTTGTTTTGTTGATATATATATTTACTTTTGCTGTAATTTCCATGCCATTTATGTACATATGAATTATGTATACTCCTGTTTGCGTACAAATTTATTTGAGCGAATAATTGATTTAATATTATTAGCCAATATTAGATTATAACATTGTTAATTTTATTGATGGACTAACGGGAAAAATTTCATACACATATCTGATAATTTATCATCTGTTTACACGTGAAAGTTTATAAATATCTTGTGACTATAGGATTTGCGACACTGTTTATATTTGTTGGAGGACATACGTCCCTCGCGTGCTTTATTAGTTTACATATGAGAAATAAGCTCTAAACGTGTCTAAAAAGAGAGGTATATCTTTATTTGAGAAATTTCTAAAATCTACTTTTCCCATTTTCCTTTTTTCGTTGCTGTATAGTAATCTTCCCACGAGAGAAATTCTTTTTCAGTATTATTCCGATATTCATGTTTGTTCTACGGGAACATAAACGAGCGAAATTTATTTGTGAAAATGCATAGTCAGAATTATTGCATTTCGTAAAGTCTGTATCACACCATGCATTGTAAATACAGATTGGATTGGATTTATTAATTGCGAATTGTTGATTAATCAATCTGATTAGTTGATCACAACGATTGGCAGTAACCCAATCCGCAATAAATGCATTCGGGGAGACGTTATTAGCGTTATTTGTATCATTCTAGCTTCATCGTTCATTAGATGTAAAACAAGGATAAAATAATATAAATAACGCTAATACAAATATAGCTAAAGCGGCATCTACAATGAGATTTTAAGGCGTAAAATTTAAGGCCTCAAGCCGTAAGAAATCGATCAATTACAGACGTATATGAAGAAAATAATCAACTACGACTGGTCATACAATTTCTTACAATTTAAAGATTAAAATTCAAGTTTTAAGCATTAAAATCTTATTGTAGACGCCGTATAAATGTGTAGATACGAACTTAAGAAGAACATAGTCAGAATTTGATGTGTCATCAATAAACATTAAATACTATTGTAGAAAGTAATTTAATATCTATCACGTTATGTATGATGTAATGACACGTGGTCATTTAAATCCGATAAAAATCTTGGAAAACACAAGTACTTTGTAATGATATGTGTCTCGAGCACGATAGATCTCTCCAAACATAATAACACGTACATACATTCATATATAGACATACGCGAGTATCACTTTAGTAGATTCCACGTGATGATCAGCAGTATATCATTTATTATTGGCAATTAGCAGACGATAGAGCAGGAAGCGTATGTGTAAATATTGAATTGTGCACTTTGAGTCATACGCATGGAAATGTTGTTTCGTTATACGACATTCGATCAGGTTTATCGAGTACAGATCAACTCGTTTACATACAAGCCGTGACGCAAAGTCGAAAAAGAATGAATAAATTATCAACAATATTGCTTGCTCGAATCGCAATCTTCGGGGTCGAAGTTCACTAAGTGCAGATCGTACAAAGGCAATTATGTCTATATAAATTCGAATTTGTACGTAATTCTGAAATCGGTTGAAAAACGATCGAACGTGACGTGCGGGTCGTCTAGATAGATGTCCTCGGAAGAGATTCTTCCCTCTGGTTTTTTCCCTGGCACGCTTCGTTCACTTGACGCGTTTCTAATCTGGCCGCGATAACGACGTCTTTCAAAGTGATTTCGAGCAGAAAGAACCAGTGTGTCATTGACCATCGCTGCGGCCGCTGTACCTCGATAACGAGGTACAAAATCAGTCCCATCTCTCTTCTCTCGTTTCGCGCCGCGATCCGTCTCTTTTTGTTTCCTTTTTTCTCTGTTTCCGATTCGACTCGGAATTAAAATCGGTAAATAAGTCAGATAGTCCTGCTCGATATTACATTTGACATTTTTTCCCTCGCTGGCGGATATCCATAACACGCAGTCGAACACTCTGACATCTTTTCTTTTTTTCCTATATTTTTGTCATGCCAGGTAAACCTTTTCATGTGCGACCTGGGACATCGTTTTTCAATAATAAATAGTCCTTGGACAATCGTAAATTTTCGAGCGCAAGTTTTCCAAGCGACTTTTAAATTTTTTGAAAATTAATTAAAAGAAAGAGAGAGTGAGAGAGAAAGAGAGAGAGGGAGACAGACTGGATTAATCGTGCTTCGAAGAAGATATCGGTGAACCATGTACTCGACTCTGTTGCTAACAAGATCCACTCGACTCAGTAATACGCCACTAAGATTGACATCGTTCATAGGACTGCGTTTGCTGCAGCAAACAGTACGTGAAGTTATGTATGACTTCGTACTTCTATATTTGATAGGGAAAGCGGTTTACTCATTGGGATATATTTATTCGAGAAATTGTGATAACGTAGTTTTACGTGAGTATATATTGACGATGTTTTGGCTTGTAGATTTCCTATCACAGATCGCGTGTTTTAAAGCTTATCGATTATGTCAGCATAATATATATCATTTCTCCAAGTTTGCATGTAAAGTATACAACGCAGAAGTGATTTCGAAATGACGTTAAGAAAAGTATTCACAACGTGGATCAATGTGTGTAACAAGTTCCATACGATACGAACGTGTGATGTGACAAATAGTTGTCTGTCGATGAAACTTTACCTTCTGGAAATGAACGTGCTCGCTCTGTTGTGTGTCCACTATCGTTGAATCGTGCATACAAACCTGCAAGTCGAAAAATGATTTTACCAATTTTGCCGATAACTGACACAGTTTACAGGGGGTATCGATACGTTCGTATATGTTGCAAGTGTTCCGCGTGCCCGAGTTAAACCGTGATAATGCAGCACATGACACGCCACAGTGATAACGCATAGATGTTTGGATAGACAATCGTCGAATGCATATCCAAGTCGAATGACATTTACTACTACAAGTAAAATGCATTATATCGGATAGATGACACTTGTTTATTATATATAAATCTGAAAATATAGATAAGGGGAAAGGATAAAAAAATTCAAAATTTAGTCTCAAATTCATTATGCATCTAATTCTCATTTTTATCATGATTGCTTTATAACGATAAGAGAGCGTTTTAAAGGATATGAAATACAAGAAATATATTTTGTAGAATCAAAAAAGGAGTAAATAATATTGATAGTAGATAATAAAAAGGAGTAAATAATATTGATAGCAGATAATAAAAAGAGAAATAACATTACTCTCTGGGATGTAGTAATTAAATTAAAGTTGTTTTAATCGATGTACGCACTTTATAAATTGACAACCTTTTTTTGGAAACAATAATTAACAAGATATATTTGAAATCCATTTGTCTAATAAATAACTACATACATCATTGTATTATTTTTCAATTTATCGTGCACAATTCTTCTTTGTCATCGGTGCTGTAATAAAATATCTTTCGCATACACGTGGAAAATTGTACTTTTCTTTCTATCTAGAGTAATATATAGTCGAGTAATATATAGTCAGGAACTGATAAAAATAGAACGCAAAGATAAGCGGGTTAAGATATGATTTATAACGCGCAATTGGTAATCGCGTAACGGAACATCCCTGCAGTTGCGAAAGCCGCGTTTATGTCACGAATAATTGTGTTTGTTTATTTGTTTATTTGTTAATTGTGTTGAGAAGACGATCATTAGCACGCGAAAAATACATGAGATTCAGTGAGTGCTGTGAATTTTATTAATTTAAAGTTAACTACCACGTTATCAAATATCACACAATCAGAAAATACAAGATATGGAGAATTATACAGACAGATTGTAAACAGATACCTGATATATTATCACTTTTTATGAAGCTTTTTAGATAATTTATTAACGAAATTATTTTTCACCTACTCAATAAAACTATCAATATTATAATATAATTATACTAGAGATAATATATTGATATACGTTAGTCCAAAAAAATTCAAGGAGCACTTATCTGCCCAATAAAAACAGACAATTTTTATGAAAGTGCAACTTTGTAAAAAATAATCATAATGTGATGATTCATAGACCATTTTAAAGTTTGAAGTCCCTACTTTTGAAATCGGTAATTTAGATAATGATCTTCATTTTTTTCTAGACTTCTATTCATTTTTTTAAATATTAAGCGCTATTGTGTTCGTCTTTTGTGAACAGTCAAAGTAAAAAACATGCTTTAATATTGAGTAACTAAAAAAATTGTGCAACACTCAATGAATATGTAAATTAAAGGTAAAAGTTCTCTCTTTTAAGTTGTAAACTGCTATTACAATTTTTACGCCATTATTTCATAAAATTCAAAAAAATTTTAGACAGATCTCCATTTGTATCTATGTAGCTTCTGTGTAGTAAAAAAAAGCAGTCGGACGTTATTTAAATTATCAATTATTTCAATAATCAAAGTCTTTATGTCAATAAAAATATACATGAATTAATTACTTATGTTAGTGACAGCTCGTAATATAGACTTTAATTGAATCAACAACATTTTTTTCTCAGTGTACTCTCTCGGAAAATTGCTTACTTTTGGAAGGCAGAATAGATAATTTCTGAATTTTTTGACATAATATACATCTTAATTAAACCTGTTATTTTATCAAAAAGCATAATACAGATAAAATCTTTAATATTTATCAAATACATGATTTCATTTACTTTAATTCTCCAAAGAAACTTCGCAATAAACTTTAACGTTTGATTTAGTTTTTTAATTAATTAATTAATTAATTAATTAATATTTATGATTGTTAAAAGTTATAGATAAAAGTTAAAGAAAAATTTAAATAAAAAAATTTGTTTTGTATTGTATTACGCCTGCAAATGCAATTATATTAGATAAACATTTCATTGTAGTAAAAATGATAAATCATAGCATCGTCATATTCAAGTAGCTCTTGGAAAATATACTTTAACCAATATAACGAGAAAAATCAGCTCTACTTACATACGTAATTTAACTTTATATATTCTTTTAAACTCTCTCTCTTTATTAGATATATAATATTCTCAAATAAATATCATCTATTTAATTGTAAACACAAGCAGACAACTCTGGCCCCAGTCTCTCCGTTCTCGCTTCTAGCACAAATTTCCTCCATAGTATCTTATATCATTATAACTTCATAATTTCTTCGATGAACACTCCAACTTTTCAACAATGCCAGACTTTTTTGCTGCATGAACGTAGAAAGCAGTCGCTAATAACATCTTATTTACATTTAACAAGTAGTTATCAGACAATATTTAATAAGAGAAAACTCTTTTTCCATTGAAACAATAATTTATTCAGAACTTTATCCGTCTCTCTATTTTTCTTTACATTTGTTTTCTTACCACGATTTTATCTTATTTGTCACGAAAAACTTTTCAAGAGTAATGGCGTGTCGCAAGGATACGTGCGGAGAGAGCTGCAAACATCGGAGAGATCACAAAGGCAACAGACCTTTACGGAGCGCAGCGAATTGAAATATGCCCGTCGACTGGTAATCAAGCTTGGTAGCGGCGTTATAACGAGAGAGGATGAACATGGTCTAGCTCTTGGACGTCTGGCATCTATCGTCGAACAGGTAGCTGAATGTCAGATTGACGGTCGCGAATGCATCATGGTGACTAGTGGAGCGGTCGCTTTTGGCAAGCAAAAGCTCACTCAAGAGCTTTTAATGTCCATGTCGATGAGAGAGACTTTGAGCCCCACTGATCACACACGGGAACACGCAGGTATATTATTTCTTCGTTCTAATAGCTTTTAATTTTATATTGTGCTCGGAAATTATTCATGGCACGATTAGAATAATTAATAAAATAATTACCAAGGTAACTGAATTTATATATGATGTTGCATTTTATAATAATAATATGAAATTATACTAACAAGTTTCCTGTTTGTATAAACGTTGATTACCAGGTATTAATATCTCTTAATATTTATTTCAATTTCATCTCGACAAACGTTGATGATTATGCAGTTTCCATAAAAATACGGTTTACTTAGATTTTACACGTGTCCAAAGCTGAAAAAGATTATTAATTACAAGTTCCTAAATTCAAGTTGACCCACTTCATAAATAATGAACCTTATCTCCTTTACTCTTCCTGCAAGACGAGCTACTAAAACGCCAATGTTGGGCGCGGTAATTGGCGCAGGAATATGCCGCGCCAATTTCATGTTCTCTTGCACACACGTTCGTCCATCAAACACAATATCTAGGGTACGACGCACTCAATAGACGCTTGCTTTAATTATTATTTTCATGCAACAACGATAAGAGGTGAATTTCGTATATACATGTACATACGGGTAAATTGCCATTAGCATAATTGAAACCAGAATAAGCGATAATCTTGTTGTACTTTACATTATTTCCCTTTGAAAGCCCGGTCGAATGACGTTCCTAATCAATAATGTTTTCATAATTCTAATTAAGAATATATATTGCGAGTCTTGTGCACATAAAGGAATTATAATAAAGTTTTAAAAAATGTAAGTTTATTTTACCTCAACGTAATTTTCACTCCGAATTCATATAGGTAGCATTATTAAACGCATTACTTTAAAGCACGTGTAATCGTCGCTCAGGGCTCGCTTGAAATAGATGGTCATTTTGCATATATTACGAGATGTAATGTTATTATTACAAAATAGCTATCTCAAAGAGCATTACATATGATGATTGTATCATAGATTCCTATATATGTAAATTATATTTCTTAATTATAAAATATGTTAACTTCGAAATAAATTTTGGTGTTAAAAAGTTTTGTTTTATTCGGGAAAAAAGTAAAAATATTAATTTGAAAAATTTAATAAAATTTTGCTATTGGCAATTGTTACATAAATTATTATTTTCATATGGGAACAAATATTTCGTGAAAACATTTATTATGCATCGACTCTCAGAAAGACAATAACTTTCTCGGTAACGAATTTTCTCTCCGCTGATATACATGATAGAAATACTCTTATTGATATTGCATAATCAAGGTTATTCCTCGCTAACGATTCATTGATTTAATACATGTATATGTTAAAAGAATAGAATCAATATATAATAACTTAAACAATTCACACAAGCGGGATATTAATATTTTTACGAGACAGGCGAGCGAATCAACCTTGAGCTATACATTTTAATATATCTCCATCTAGTTATTAAAGAATTACAGAGCTTACTAAAGAAAAATAACACATGTATTCTGTCTGAAATGCAAAATGGAAAAAAGGAAGAAACTTCAATAAAACTGTACTGTCAAGAGACGTTAACGAACTTCTGTCTTGAAATAATAAATAACTGTTTGAAGAGTCTTTTAAAAAGAAGAAACAAATCCATTGTTCATAAATTCTATCTGTAAGAATACCCAGGCGAGGTGTTAATGTTCTGATAGTTTCGGATACATGTCTAGGCAGCCTGCCAAGTCGACAATGTCCGGTCTGCTCTCTCCCCCTCCTCCCCCCCTCCGTGTGCGTGCGTGTGTATGTGTATATAGATTGAGCTACAACTACCCGACGACGAATTCCTGTGGGATTCTATTTGTTCTGTGAATCATGTCGAATGCATCTTCCGAGCAATGCGCACGTTCGAGAGCGAATTTTCTTCAATGTCTTGTCAATCATCCATTTGTTTTCTTATTCTGGTAGAAGCGTTTCTCCAAAATTACTTTTAATTATTAAAAAAATCGTCTAGTTGTACCAGAGTTGTAGCATTTATCCAAAGCTAATATTTAATTATTCCAAAAACCATTTAGTGATGCTCTTTCATATTGGCATTATCCTTGAAATAAAACTTCAAAAGCGGACTTTGGGTAACTTACATCCTTCATAACATATTTATGCAGGAACTATGTTGGAACCTCGAGCAGCGGCCGCAGTGGGTCAATCTGGTCTCATGTCTCTCTACGATGCGATGTTCGCCCAATACGGAGTCAAGATTGCTCAGGTATTAGTGACTAAGCCTGACTTCTATAACGAGGAGACACGAAAAAATCTCTTCAGTACACTGAGCGAACTGATTAGTTTGAATATCGTGCCAATCATCAACACGAATGACGCAGTATCTCCACCACCAGACGTCGACGAGGAAGTTGCTGGCAGCGGTGGTAGACGAGGAATATCTATTAAGGATAATGATTCCCTAGCGGCTATGCTGGCGGCTGAAGTCCAAGCAGATTTGCTAGTCCTCATGAGTGATGTCGATGGAATCTACAATCTTCCACCTTGGCAGGATGGCGCTAAGATGTTACATACCTTTAGTTCCGATCTAAGAGGTACTATCAAGTTCGGACAGAAGTCGAAAGTAGGCACAGGCGGTATGGATTCGAAGGTCAACGCCGCTCTTTGGGCGATGGATCGTGGTGTTGCAGTCGTCATCTGTAATGGTACGCAAGAGAAGGCTATTAAGAGTATCATGTCGGGCAGAAAAATAGGAACGTTCTTCACGCAGGCTGCTGGCTCATCCATTCCTGTCGAGGTGATCGCCGAAAATGGTAATAGTTTGATTTTTGACTTTAAAATATTTTGTGTTTGTGTTTAAGAATCTTATCTTAACTATATATTATATATAAATACATAGTATATATTATATATAAATATATATATAATTCCTGAAATATGGTATATATTATATATAAATTGGTAGAGAATAAATAGTAGTTTAACGCGAGAGGAGTGCTCTGATTTAAACGATCCTGATTTTAATTTGTGATTCTTTTATATTTATCTTATTTCGATATTGGAACGATTATATATTCATAAATGCGAATAAAATTTCAGCTCGCGTCGGTAGTAGAGTGCTACAAGCGTTACGCCCGGAGGAACGAGCCGAGTGCATCAAAATCCTCGCAGATTTGCTCGAATCCAGACAGTCCGAAATTCTCTCAGCAAACACATTGGATTTGGAAGCTGCGAGCAAAAAGAATCTGGCAAAGGCCTTATTATCGCGTTTGTCTCTAACTCCGGCAAAGCTCAAGTCCCTAAGCTCCGGTCTGCATCAGATCGCGAACGATTCATTAAACAATGTTGGCCGCGTACTCCGTAGGACCAGATTAGCCGATGGTTTGGAGTTGGAGCAGATAACGGTACCCATCGGCGTGTTGTTAGTTATCTTTGAATCGAGACCGGATAGTTTGCCTCAGGTAGCCGCCCTGGCTATGTCCAGCGCTAATGGACTTCTCCTGAAAGGTGGCAAGGAAGCCTCCCACAGCAACAAATACTTGATGGTACTTGTAAAGGAGGCATTGGAGAAGTTCAGTGCCTCGAACGCTATTTCCCTCGTATCCACAAGGGAAGACGTAGGTGATCTTCTCTCAATGGAAAAACACATAGATCTCATCATCCCTCGCGGTAGCTCGGATTTGGTCCGCACGATTCAGGAGCAGTCTAAACATATACCTGTTTTAGGACATGCCGAGGGTATCTGTCACGTTTATGTTGACAAGCACATGGATGTAACGAAAGCTATAAGAATCATCAAAGATTCCAAGTGCGATTATCCTGCCGCGTGCAATGCTATGGAGACATTATTGATACACGAAAGTCTAATGAGTGGCAGCTTCTTTAGTGACGTATGCAGCATGCTGCATAAAGAAGGGGTGAGTCAGCTTTTTCTAAGATTGAGTATTCGACGAAAAAATATATATTTATTGTATATATGTGTGTGTGTGTGTGTGTGTGTGCAAATGTATATATCATTTTAATTTTTTATTTTTTGAAATTAGTTTGTTAAGAGGATTAAAGGATTTGCCAATTAGTAAATCCGAAAAATCCAAAGGATAAAGAATTAAAAAAATCTTTTTTCTTCTTAGTTCCTTTCGTGTCGTGTTACAATATTTCGCGTATTTTCTGTTCGTAAGCAGAACTTTCATCAAGGACTTTTTATTGGGATTTTACAAAATGTCAAAAGTTTATACTCAAATTTGTACTCGGAGACATGTATTAACTTCTTTGAAACGAAATAGAAAAGATTGACTTTTCTGACATCTTTTCTTGAAATTCGAATAAAAGATAATATCCTATGAATATATAATGAACTAATGTAATGTTCCATTTTTTTTTTCATTAAAATAAAATTTATTAAAACTCTTTCTCTCAATAATCGAACTTGTATTGCTTAACATTAACTTTATTACAAATGTATAAAACAATAGTATTTTCCAGGTAAAAATCAACTCCGGTCCAAAATTAAGAGAACTGTTAACTTTCGGTCCACCTGCCGCCAAAAGTATGCGAATCGAATATGGTGCACTTGAATGTACCATAGAGGTAGTTTCTGATGTCGATGATGCCATTAGCCATATTCATAAATATGGTAGTAACCATACCGATGTTATTATCACTGAGCATGCCAGCACAGCGGTACACTTTCAGAGGGAGGTGGATAGTGCATGTGTCTTCCATAATGCCAGTACTAGATTCGCAGATGGCTACAGATTCGGTCTTGGAGCGGAAGTAAGATTTCCAAGACAAAAATTAGTATTTTCATTTTAAAAAAACAAAAAAAAAACTTTTTTCATATAATAATTACTTGGAACAGCGTATCCAATTGTTAATGTATATTCTTATAAAATATAAAAATAATAAGTATTTGTAATTTAAGTTATGAAGTAGTTATTTATATTATTACATATGTATAATTTTTTTTTAAGGTCGGTATTTCCACGACACGTATCCACGCACGTGGTCCAGTAGGAGTGGATGGGCTTTTAACGACGAAGTGGATTTTGAAAGGCGACGGACACGCGGCTGCGGATTTCGCTGAAGGAGGTAGCAGAACTTGGCTTCATCAATCCTTACCTCTTACAGAATCAATGTGAATCGATCGCTTCGAACTTTATGATCTCGGGTTAGCTGGAATATCATTTAATAAAATGCAATGAGTGAACACCTCAAAAAAAAAGCACGACGGACATAGGAAAATATAAATAAAAAAATATAAAGAAAAAACAAATAGAAAAAAATCAAGTGATAGAATAAAAAAAGAAATATTATCATTTCGAATCATTCTTGATATAGGTATCGAATTAAAATTTTAAATTGTAACATAGATCGACAACGAAAATATTTATAAAATACGAAATTTTTGCATTTATGGAATAGAAATAGCTCAACATCAATTATAAGAATACATTACTTTTTATATTATGACTAATCCTAGCGGTAATAAATATTTTTATCAATATGTGCAAAAATATTATGTATTATGTATGTATATACATATAATAGATACATATAAATCAAGAAGTACTGAAAATAATGAGATAAATTGTTTTTCGCTCTCCATGAACGCTCCAAATTTCAATCGCACAGATAAATTATCTTAAAAAGAGATTCAATAGAACGATGTAAGATTCATAACAGAAGTTGTAAAAGTCGTCATTTTCAAAATTTCGAAAGTTTGTTAATAATGTAACAGTGAAGTCCTTCTCTTTCAGTACTCATCTTGAAATAAACTAAACAAACCTAAACAGGAGAGTTTGGATCCTACAGTTAACGGACTCGCGACTCTTTGTTGAGAATGATATAAACGTTAGCACAACAGCAGTGCGTCTATTGACCGGACAGCTGCCCCAGTTATAAATAACGTCAAAAGTTTATACGTGATTATAAAACCTATTTCACGGAAGACATATTTTTCTGAAACGCGCGCGTAGTACGAATATTAATAATTATTCTTGCAAATTTCCGAATGAAATCAAATAAACTGTATATTCAGCGAACAAAAAAATTTTTTAAATATAAAAACACATTCTTTTTAGATAATTAATTTTTATAAAAATTTATCATACAAAATTACATGTAATAATTACATATCGTAATGTAAAATTAATATAATAATTTACATTCCATAAAATCGGAATATATGTAATAAACAAATCAGGGCTTCTATTCTTGAAAAAAAACGTATATAAAAAAACTAGAGAAATACTGTAGTATATTATTACGTTTTTCGTATACATTTTTTTTTTTAAGAATAGAGACCCAGATATTTTTACAATTAGTTTAGTTGAACTTCTTACACGGTTCATCTTTCTTCCTTCTTTCTCTACGTTGGAGAGAAAAAGAGAATAGAACAAGAACAGAGCAAGAAGTTTAGTTAAAAAGAACAAAGGCCTAATGTTTTACATGAATATTTTGCAAATTTATACATTTTTATTAGAAGAAGTACTAAGATAAATATTTATTTCTAAGATGTCTGTTGAGAAGAAATATTTTCCAAGTATTTCATTCTGGCGCCCATAATTTGAAAGTTCTATCATACGAACTAGTTGCAATAAATTTATGATCGGGCGATACATCAACGGACATGACTTTTCCATCGTGACCTGGTAACATCTTAAGAGGTTGCCATGTTTTGTTGGACCAAATTTTGGCTGTGTTATCATAAGATGCGGTAACCAAATATTGTCCTTCTGTTTTTTGGTACTTCACGTCGGACAGCAAATTGGTATGTGCTGGTATCGTGTATATGCAAGTTCGCTTTCGCAAGTCCCATATCTTGCAGGTATTATCCTCACTTGCTGTTGCTATGTGAAAACCGTTTGGTGAGAAATCGATGCCGAAGATAGATGTTAGATGACCCTCCATAAACATTATGCATCTGCCGGTACGTAAATCCCATACTCTGCCAAAAGAGTCTTGACCGCCTGTGGCACAAACGCTTCCATCGCATTGAAAACTAAATAAAAACACGCAATACGTAATAAAAATAGATCAATATGACGAATTACAAATAGATCAATATGATGAATTAAACAACATATGCGAAGAAATATACCTAATGCAGTGTACTGCCCTAGCATGACCTTCTTGATGAAGTACTTCTGCTTGTTGTTCCAAATCCCATAATCGCCAAGATGCATCGTAACAACATGTGCCAAGAAATCGTCCAGATGGATGAAAAGCAATCCTAGAAACTCTGTGAGGTTCATGTCCTTCCACCTCTGCTAATGGTTCTTCACCAGTACCACCGCTCCATAGTTTTACAGTACCTATTATAAAATTTAGATATGATAAAATAACATTATCATATAATTTTATGTGTCATTTATAATAATATGTATTTATTGCATACCATCTGCTGCACACGATGCCAGCACGCAAGTTGGTACTGCATTATCACCTACTACATCTTCGGTTATTGTAGCTTTTGGATGAAAAACAATACAGCCAACATTACAATTGTGTCCATGTAAAGTGCGTAACAAAGTACAGTCAGGTACAGACCATAATTTGCATAAGCCTGACCATGAAGCTGTAACAAGGATTTTCGAATTAGGGCTGAACTGGCAAAAGGAAATGGGCCTGTTATCACCAATTTGAGAACAATAAATGCTCAATGCTTGCAACTTTTTCAAAAGCTCTTGTCTTTTCGCTGTGCGAGTTGCAGCTGGTAACAGTAGATCTTGCCTTGCCTTATCCAACCGTGCTTTAGCTCTGGGCAATGAATAAGCTGCAAATATATAAAAGTTAAATAATGCTTGTATTAAAAAAATAAGAGATATGAACACTTACATTTTTATATAGATTTAATTCATGGTTATAGTACAATTTTACTTTTTTTAAATTCATGCCAGTAATAAAATCCAGTATTTTCCAGAAAAAAACTGAAAAACACTTTTTTATTAAAAACTCTATTTATTTTATTATTTTTAATAGAAAAGTTTACCAGTTTTTTGTCTGGAAAATATTGGATTTTGTCATTGATATTCTAATTCTAGTACTAGGTACATTCTGCTTTTAATTGTTTTTCAATTTAAGCTTCATCCAAAATAAAATGCATAAAAGAAATCAATGTAACAAATAATTTAGTTTTTGTCATAAAATGTTATTGATAAACTCGAATCAGATAAGTACAATACAAATTTTATATTATATTATCTTATCGTTCTTGTAAAACTGTAATCAAAATAAAAATTAATATAAACTTTAATTACATTTATTATCTCCAAAGTTTTTGTTTTAAAAAAGTATTTCACACATTAATTCGAATTAAAAAAGATTCTATTATAAAGTGTTTTATTACTATTAGTTTTCTTCGTTTTTTTCTTTGAAATTATGATTAGTATGATTTATTAACTAAAACAAAAATATTTTCTATATAAAGTATATAAGTCTATTTTTTTAGTACTAAATATTAGTTTTATTATAGTTTTTTCCAGTTTGTTCCAGTTTGATAAAGTCCAAGACCTCGAATTTTTTCCTAATTTTTTCTATCTATTGAATTTTTCTGGCAATTCCTGATTCAAGTATAATTATGACTTACATGCTATCCATGATCTTGCGATTTGTAAAGAATCTGGTCCTTCATGATACCAAGTTGATTCTGCATCTTTTTCGAGTGGATAGGACGGTTTTTCTTCTTCTTCGTGTTTCTTTTTAATAGCATCCTCTCCCACGCTAGCTAATAATTCTCTTAATCTTGTCCTTCTATCCGCTGGACCTTCTCCAAAGAGACAAATTGGCTCACCCAATTGTCTTAAGTGTTTCTTTACTTCGGAGTCATCTGTAGAAACATTAATTTGTCTAGCCTTTTTCCTACGTTCAAATTCTTCCAATAATGCCTGTCGATCTTTGGACATTTCATCCTCGAGCTCCATGTACTCATTCGAAATATGTACATTTCCTCCTGAGGCGGAAACATTAGTGACATCGTTTGCATTCGTGACATCCTTTTCTTCATCTGTAGTTTCGATTGTAGCTGCAAGCCGTGCACGTTCTGCTTCCTCCAAGGAACCATAGTGGACGGTTTTCTGCTTCTTCACGTAAACCAAATCCTCGTCGTCAGACATTTTAAGAGGTTATGGAAGGTTATGATTCTCCTATCTTAGGATAATCTGCAATTCCTCCGTTTTATTTGACTGCGAATATATTACACAGATTATATTACACATTATTTTGAAGCGAATTTACGAGTATAATTTACAAGCAATGGAATATTTTGAAAAGTAGTAAAAGAATACTTGAAATACCGCTACAGAACATAAAGCATTTCAGACCTAACCTAAAACTAACTTATATTTTATTACTGATAATTGATAGTACTTACGTTATATATAATCAACATATAATCCGCAGCTATTTGCAATATTTACATGTATTTTAAAAAATTTTACAATACATGTTTTTGAGACATTTACATATCGTTTAAACAATGCTTTACGCTACTCACATCTCACACCTCCATCCGCGTAATTCGTCAGTCTACATTTAACAGCATTTAACCTTTAATCTGGTCTATCACAGACGATCGATTTGTATCGAAATGATCGAAATTACGATAATTAGTTTATAAACAAGATTATTAAAATAATTATTAAAATAATTATTAAAATAATTCAAAATATATTTATCTTACTTCTCGCATAAATTATTTTATTAATATGTTAAAAAATTTCAAAAAATAACATTAAAAGTAACAAAATAGTTTCTCTATTTTTAATGTATAAATATGTATATTCAATGTCAATACGTTTCAAATAATAATTATGTAAATTAGTTCATCTATTACTAGAGTAAAGCCTCTTATTATGAGATAGGCGCCTCATTTAAGATAGCGGCGTTTCTGCTAAACTAATAACGCTATCTATTGGTTCCATCATGAATTTATTACTCTTGGATTGAAAACTATTTAGTAGAAAATTCGTTATTAGATCATGTCTGGAGTCATTAAAAAAGATTTTAGAATTTGGACGTCTTCAAGTTTGAGCCTTTGAGATGAGCCTTTAAACATTATTTATTATTTAATAAAAAAAAATAAATAAATATTTGGCAATAAATTTTTTATGTAATGATAGAATAAGGTCGTACTAATAGAAAAATATGGAATATGTTAAATTGCTTAATTACAGAAATTAGATTTGACGATCGTAAAATCATAAAGCATATATAATATGAGATA